CTTTTCCCCCCCCCCAAGCCAAAAAAAAAAAAAAGCCGCGATCAGCAGCAGCAATTGGAAAAAAAAAAAAAAGCCGCTCCTAGAGGGAATGAGGGACCTGCCGCCCCCGAATTGCCACAGGTGCCGCCCCTCTCCTTTGGCCGCCCCAAGCACCTGCTTGTTAAGCTGGTGCCTGGAGCCGGCCCTGCCTCTAGTTGAGCTCTGATGCTGCCAGATTAACTTTGTGGGGACGTAGATAGACTTTGCTCAATGTTGGCATAGGAGCCCAGTACAGATACTTCTCTCAGAAGCTATATTCAGAGTTAGTTATTCATATTGTGGTAGGACTAGATCAGAGGTGAGATGTGCAAGGTGCTGTACTGTAGAACAGTCCCTAAGACACTGCTGACAGAACAGAAAAGGGAATATGATCATCTCAATTCTACAGATGGGGAACTGAGGCACGAATAGATTAAGTGACTTGCACAAGGTCACGCTGGCAGTCAATGGCAGAGCCAAGAATTGCATCCCAGTTTTCTGAGGCCTAGCCCAGGGCCTCGGCCATAAGGGCCTCCTTCCTCTTAAATTGCTGGTCTCTGCATTAACGTAATGGCAATGCAGAGTCACTGTCTCTCTCAAAATAGCACAGAACCCAGGAAAGAGCATTGTCTAGCAGCTGATACAAGAGCCTGGGAGTCTTCGCTTTGCCTCTGACTTAATCTGCGTGACCTTAGGCAAGTACTTGTATCTATGGTACAGATGGGCAGACCGAGCCATGAAGAAGTCAAACAAATACCTGCATTTCTAAAGTGCTTTGAGATCCCTGGGTGACCTATAGGAACTAAGTGTTATTTAATGGAGGGGGGAGGGGGAGGGTTGTCACAGCCATGAAGAGCCTGAATCATGCTGCGTGCTACCCTCACTCTGTTGCCAACAGTTTCTCCTTGAGCCAAGGAAGGACACACACGCACACTTCCAGACAGAGAGGGGATTTGGGAGGAAGCAGGTTATAAAACACTCTGCAAGCAGGAAAGGTTCCATTCAGTGCTTCAGGACTAGAATTAATAGGTGCAACCCATAATCCTCTTTTGGAAAGGGAGAGGTGGGAGGGGGAGAAGGGAGAGAGAGAGAGAAAAATAATGGCCAAATCGTCATGTCTTGTTGTCAGAGAGTCTTCCAGGTTTGTGAAGTTCAATGCATAGAAAATCAGGTGGAGAGCCTGCTAGACTCAGCATGTTTTTGGAGAATAAGGGGCAAAACTGACCTTCACATAATCAGCCCTGGGAGGGAAACACAAGTGTTTGTTTCCAGGAACAGGCAGGCAGCAGAGCAACACGGACAGTTATTATAAAGCTAATCTCAGCTACCCCCATCCTGTCACAGCTAAACCCCTGGGGTTTTTTATCTATATAATTTCTGCTGTGGCAATCTTTTCCTCTTAAATTCAGTGCTGGTGGAAGGAGGAAGCCTGAGAGCGTGAAGGCCTCTGATTATTATGGAGCAGGTACAACAGAGGCAGGGTAGGGCAAGCTTCCCTCATATGTTGACTCCAACAGAACTGCTCCAACCCTGACCCCACGGGACCACCTCTGGCTGAGCGGGGGTTCCGTCTCCACGGTCCATTCAGTTGCTGGCCTCTGCTGAGCTTGACAGAGGGGTAGTTAGTTCCCATCAGTCATAATTTCAGTGCCAGGGAGGGTGGAGCTGTAAACCCCGTCAAAATCACTTTGGCTGAGTTACACAGTCTAGCTCCAGGGGCAGGAAAGAGACACCCAGCATCGGAACATGTGGGGCCAGGGTCCCCATTGCCCTGTGGGCCGGATGTGAAGTCACTCCTGACTCCGAATGGCGGTGGTTTGCACCCACCTTTCACTGGCTCACTCTGCAAGGCATGGGGCAATTGAGAAACTGCTGCGTTTCAGGTGGATTCGTGAAGTAACTGGACAGCCCAACTGAGCCAAGGGCAGGGAGGAGAAACGAAGCCTCTTCCCCCAAGGAGTCAGCTGTTTCACCTGAATTAGGGCCCAGGATCCTAGCGTCCCTTCGATCCCCTTTTTGCAGCCTTTATTTAACATGGGGTGTGTGTGTGTGCGTGAAAATTAGGGTCTCCCAATTTCCCTCTGAGATCTAGAGCAGCATTTTCAGCAATACAAAGATATTCTAACAATTCAGGTGCTTAGTCCCTGCCTCACAGAGTTTGTCTTTCTGTTCTGTCTGTACAGCACCTAGCAAAACAGGGTCCTGGCCCACGTCTGGGGCTCCTGGGCAGTCACACAATACAAATAATAAATTCCCATAACGGCCGACCACTTGTTCTGCCTATTGGGACGTCTTATCTAGGATACACCATCAGTTCCGAACTCCAGGTGTTGTATAAGTGTAACCAACTGCTCAGCATATGTTTCGAGCCCTCCACATCACCTAATCCACAGAGAATACGGGTATGTTGACTTTTGAGCTGGGAGATGCCTATTCAGATTAGCTCCAAATATTCGCTAGTGCCTAAAAATGGCGGCATGGCTGTCAAGGACGTACCCAGGGCAAGGGTGCTGGAACTGGGCGCAGGGGGGGCGAGGAAGG